CCTTTCCCAGTTGTATTAAACTTTGTCACTGTCAGGGGTTACCACTACCACGAAGGTTATTTTTATTTTTTACCACACTGACAGGTAGTATTGTAGTATATTTTTACTACATATATGTGACATATAGGACTGTTTTGCATGTTTTTAAAACTTTATATGAATATCATTCTGAATATACTCTGCAATTTGCTTTTATCCCTTATCATTGTTTTTGAGTTTTATTCATGTTTGTGTATATAGCTCCATTTCATTGATTTTAACTGTTGTATCATAGATATTCCAGTGGATTCTTTTTACTCATTTTCCTATAAATTGACGTGTAAGTTGGCTCTAATATCTTGTTGTTAAAAACATGCAATGACCATTCTATTCATATCCCCTTGAGCACAAAAGGGGGACTTTCTCTGGGATATATACCTAGGAATAAAATTGTTGGAACAAAGGCTGCAAATTATCTGGATATTACCAAATGGCTCTTCAGAGTGGTTGTATTAACTTATACCTACCACTAATATAAGTGTAATGTACTCTTAAAGTGTAAAGAGATATAGCCATACTCACACTCATGCACATATTGTATATATATCGGTGTGGATATCATATGTATGTATCAGGACTCAGAAGATCCAAGCCTGGATATTCCCACCTGGTTCTCTTTCCTTCTCTTCTTTGCCCTGACCAAATTTCTCTCACCTCCCTGGCCTTCAAGGTCCTGCTCCAGTTCCTCAGGAGGCCTTCCTTATCAACACCCCTCTCCAACCCCTGACTTCCCGAGGCAGCCCCTCACATATACTCAGCATCTATGATGGGTATTTAGTGTTTCAGAGGTCTATGTTCTAGCTCCACATCATATAATCAGCTCCTCAAAGGCAGGAGCCATTTTGAAGATTTATCGGCACCTTCCAGAATCCAGTGCCACATTCATAATGGGTTCTTGAAGAGATTGGTGAATTGTTGTTAGACTGAAGTCAGTTTCCTTTTGAAACCAAGCAGGACCCTGTGGGGCCCCCCCGGTACAAAAGACTTTCTGTGTCCAACATTTCTTGTTTGTGGGAAAAAGGTTTCCAGCCTCCTAGGCCTTCCCTGAGTTCCAAAGGGCAGATTCAAATGGTTACTAATTAGGAAAGCGAGGGAATGAAGAAACAAAAGAAAGGCAGTCAAGAAACAATAGTGCAGCTATGGGGCAGGGTTCTGGTTCCTCCTCGGGGGATATGTATAGCAATCTGATATTTATCTCTGAGTTCCTATAGGAACTAAGGCCCCCAGGTGGAGGATGGTAACTTCAGGCTGAGCATAAGCACAGGGAATCTAGACTGGTTGGAATCAGAAGGCTGATGATTGAGATTCCTGGAACACCACCCTGTTAACTTACCACCAACCAATCAGAGGAAGGTCATACACCCCGTAGTCCTCCCCACAAATTTTGCCTATAAAAACTCTCCCCCAAAGACCGTCATGGAGTTTGGGCTTTTTGAGCACAAGCAGCCCGTTCCCCTTGCAATAAACCTTTCTCTGCTCCAAACTTCGATGTTTTGGTTGGTTTGGCCTCACCATATGTTGGGCACATGAACTTGGGTTGAATAACACTTTTCCTCCCCTAGAGAGGTCAGATTATATTCTTCGAGTGACTTTCTAGGAACAGCTATCCTCCCCAACTTTGGTAATAACCAGTTAAGATGCAGGTCCACACACCTATGGCTCCAATAATTTCATTCCCCTGTGTATATCTTAGAGAAATGCCCTCATTTTTCTTACATTCCTCCTCTTACTAAATTCTCAATGACAGCAACAAATACAGGCTAACCTTCTTGAATCCACTACAAGTGATACACTATTCTTTGAAAACCATAGCTACATAGAGGTAAGCATATACAGGTTCACAGTTCATCTTTGTTCAGCTTAGAAGAAATCTATACTGAGAGTTTTAACCTAGTCAGTTACCCAAGCACATTCGATTCTTAGTCCTGGGTCCTTGAAAAGTCTTCACTCTCCTTCTGTTCTCTATTTCTAGCTATCTTCTAGTCTTCTCCTCCCATGTCCTGAGCAATATGCCTTTTTTGCCATATCTACTCCCAAAACTTGTTGTATTTCCCTCCACAGGGTATCAAATTTTTAGATTTGTGCTTTTATCAGAATTTACTGAATCTTCTTTGTTTTTTTTGTTTTTGTTTTGTTTTTACTTTTTTTGGCCACATCATGCAGGATGTGGGGATCTTAGTTCCCCTACCAGGGGTAGAACCTGTGCCCCCTGCAGTGGAAGTGAAGAGTCTTAACTGCTGGACTGCCAGGAGAGACCCTGAACCTTCTTTCACTCTGAAAGCAGCATGATGTAGTGAAAAGAAAGCAGACTTTGAAATGGATAGAACTCTTCAAATTCTTTGTACAAGTGAATCTCCACTCTATCACTTTATCGTGTTCAGAAAGTTATTAAACCTCCACCATTTTTCAGGTGGGGAAGTTGGTACCTCTGTCTCACAGCTGCTGAGAGGATGAAATAGGACAACATAGGTTAAGTGTGTTTACCATAGTGTCCTACATATAGTAGGTGCTTGGTAACTCTTAGTGTCATTCTTCTTATTCTCCTTCCTCCCTCTTGTCTGCATTCCAGAAATTCTATCACTACTAATTAATTATTTTAGACTCCTAACTGACAGATATTTTAAGTCCGTTGTCCACTGTAAAGGAGTGTATTAGGCACTTTGTCCCAGGAAAGAGAAATCTGATGCAAACCTGTTACCCAGGTATATAGTGGGGCACTGAAATGGACACTCTTTCATCTAACCAAAACAATCTTACCAGCTGCGCTCAGGGACCTAATGAATATTTGCTTGTCCCCTAAAAGGAAAGAAATGTTTCTCTCCATGTATATTTTATACATATGTATTATATATATAATTTCCAATAAATATATACAATTGTCCAATAAATATACCTATACATATCTATACCTACATCTATATATCTATATCTATATCTATATCTATCTCCTTACACTGGTTTTCTTGTACACATACTGTCTTAGTCCATTCAAGCAGCTATAACAGAATACCATAGACTGGGTAGCTTGAACAACAGAAATTTATTTCTCATGGTTCTGAAGGCTGGGAATTCCAAAATCTAGGTGCTAGCAGATTCAGTGTCTGGTAAGAGCCCACTTCCTGTCTCATAGACCACCATATTATTATTGCTGTGTCCTCACATGGCCAAAGAGGGTATGCAGCCCTCTGGAGGTCTCTTTTATAAGGGCACTAATCCCATTAATGAGGGCTTCACCCTCATGACCTAATTACCTCCCTGAGTCCCCACCTCCAAAATACCATCATACTGAAGATTAGCTTTCAGTGTATGAATTTTCAGGGGACACAAACATTCAGTCTTTACCACATACAAAAAGTAATGGCATCATTACACCAGAGATATCCTACCTCTCTCTACAGTTAATGTGCTTTTTACTACAGGACTTCTAAAATATTTTTAGACTATTTTAGAATAACATGTTATTACTTAGAATATTTAATTACTTCTTTTAATAATAAAAATCTCGAGGGACTTCCCTGGTGGCGCAGTGGTTAAGAATCCACCTGCCAATACGGGGGACATGGGTTCGAGCCCTGGTCTGGAAAGATCCCACAGGCCATGGAGCAACTAAGCCCGTGCACCACAATGACTGAGCCTGCGCTCTAGAGCCCACGAGCCACAACTACCGAGCCCACATGCTGCAACTACTGAAGCCCGCACTCCTAGAGCTCATGTTCCGCAACAAGAGAAGCCATTGCAAGGAGAAGCCCATGCACCACAGTGAAGAGTAGCTCCCGCTCACCTCAACTAGAGAAAGCCCACGCGCAGCAATGAAGACCCAATGAAGCCAAAAGTAAATAAATAAATAATAAATATATTTAAAAAAAAATCTTGATACCAGTAAGATTGCCTCAACACAGTGCAGTTACTTTCCTTCCTATGTGTATCCATAAAGTAAATTCTTTGAAGGGTAAGCAGCTAGAAAAGAGTTAGTTTATTCTGAATTAGTTACCTGAAAAAGCTAGTGGAAAGTCTCAGCCACACTTTTACGTATCAAAGTAAAAGAGCTATCCTAGATCGCCGCAGGACTAGATAACTTGAGACTAAGAAAAAAAGAATCATTCATTAGGAAGTGTGAGAAATGTCTTAGGGTTGATTTTGTTTAAATGCCAATGTGAATTGATCATTAGCATTAGCGAGAGCCGTGCAAATAACACCACCTAAGAGGCTAAACCAACATGGAATTGTTTCAGAGCAATTAATTAACTTCCAAGCTTCTTGTATTAACACCACCTTATTTCCCCAGTGTAGATAGACAATTTGTTTTAAAAGTCAACCAAAAATTGTGATATTCTGCCAACAAGATTACAAGAGTGAAAAAACAACCCCCTAGTCAAATGCAAATTGTAGTCATATTAGTATGCTAATGAGCTAAGTGATAAACTGTGGGTCAAATTTCCTCCTCTTCAGCTTAAATAGCACTTGAAAAGGCTTATTTTCTAAATGTTTGGGAAACCTAGGAGAAGCAACAATTAAGGTTTATTACATGAATATTATCTGTTCAGCGATATGAAAAATTAATAGATGGGACTAAATTAAAATGAGACAATTCTTTCTAGTGATTTACAGGTTATTGAGAAGCATGGCTTAAAGGAAGCATATGTAACTATTCTAAATTTGGAGTGAAGTCTTTTCGAAATTTCTTATTTAACAATTAAAATAAAAAGGTCTGTTTTGTCTGTTTTGAAAGGAGATATGTTATCATGAGAAGGAATGTCTAGAGATGTAAATTTCTCTTTCTTGACCACTTATCAAAGAAGACTTTCTGGATTGAATTTACTCTCATCACCAGATTTCACCCTCTCACAAAGCAGTTATGTGCTTTTATACAATTTTTCTATAAATATTAACTACCTTTTATATATTTGTGTTCATTTTATAAGTTCCTTAAAATCCACAGCAAGTCTGATTGTATTTTGCAGCATCCAACTCAGCTCCTTGTCTGAAGACCACGCTCGGGAAAGCCAGGTGAAGACCCAAGAGGGCCAGAAGGTGAGGTGGTAAGAGCCTGAAAATGGGGTCACATGGATGCCGCTTCTTTTCTGTGTACCCATGTCCATCTACCCTCTCTTCCACTTTTGCAAGCTGGGCAAGTTACAAAATCTCCCTGGGCCTCAACTTTTACGATTCTAAGAGGGAGATGATAAAGCTTTATGTCCAAGGCAGTGGTCTGAACCTTGGCTGCACAATGGAATCACCTGGAGAACTTTAAAAATACTGATGACGGGGTCCGATCCCCAGAGCTTCCGTTGAGGAGCACAGGCTCCAGACGTGCAGGCTCAGCGGCCATGGCTCACGGGCCCAGCCGCTCCGCGGCATGTGGGATCCTCCTGGACCGGGGCACGAACCCGTGTCCCCTGCATCGGCAGGCAGACTCTCAACCACTGCACTACCAGGGAAGCCCCCCCAGAGCTTTTAACTTCATCGGTGTGGTTTTTGCCAGGGTACAGGGAGTTTTAAAATCCCTAGGTGATTGTAATGTACAGATGAGGTCAAGAACCACTGCTCCAAGTGCGTTAGAAGAATTAAATAAAACAAAGAAAAATAGTACCTGATAAGTAATAGGTCAAAAATCATTTGTTTTCTTTTTTCTTCTGTTGGTTTTTCTGTTTGTACTGGTAATTGTATTTGATCCTGGCTGGAAGCTAAGGGACAGAGGGAGAATTTCATTCAAATATTTGTTTTATTTTTTTTAACTTTTTATTTTGAAATAATTTTAAATTTACAAAAGAGTTGCAAAAACAGTACAAAGAATTCTCATGTACCCTTCACCCAGATTCACCAATTGTTAACAATTAATTACATTTGCTCTCATTTTTTAAAAAATATTTATTTATTTATTTTTGGCTGCATTGGGTGTTCGTTGCTGCCACGGGCTTTCTCTAGTTGCGGCAAGTGGGGGCTACTCTTTGTTGTGGCGCCCGGGCTTCTTATTGCAGTGGCTTCCCTTGTTGCCGAGCACGGGATCTTGGCGTGCAGGTTTCAGTAGCTGTGGCTCGTGGGCTCTAGAGTGCAGGTTCAGTCGTTGTGGTGCACGGGTTTAGTTGCTCCGTGGCATGTGGGATCTTCCCGGACCAGGGATCGAACCTGTGTCCCCTGCATTGGCAGGCAGATTCTTAACCACTGTGCCGCCAGGGAAGCCCCTGCTCTCACTCTTCCACATTCTCTTTATACATACAACTTTTTTTCCTGAACCAGTTGAGAGGTAGTTGCAGAAAACATGCAACTTCACCCTAAAGAGCATATATTTATTAAGAACAAGGGCATTCTCCTACATAACCACAGGACAATTATTTGGAACGTTTAATATTGGTACAATACTCTTATCTAATCTACAGGCCATATGTAATTTCTCCAATTTTCCTTATGTCCTTATGGCATCTCTCCCATGCCCTCCACTGCCACATTCAGGATCCAATCCAGGATCATGCATTACAGTTGGTTGTCATGGCTTTTTAGTTTCTTCTAATCTGACATAATACCTTCTGCCTTTCATGATATTGACATTTTTGGAAACGTACAGGCTAGTTGTTTTGTATCCCGTGCCATCTTTTTTGTAAGTATTTATTTAATGATTTTTAGTAAATATATAGAGTTGTGTAGCCATCACTACAATCCATTTTAATAATATGTCCATCACCCACCAAAAATTCCCTTCTCCCCACCCCCACAGCCTTAAGTAACCACTAACCTACTTTCTGTTTCTATAATTTTGTGGTTTCAGAATGTCAAATAATAGAAACATACAGAATGTGGTCTTTTATGCCTGACTTCTTATACTTAGCCTAAAGTGTTTGAGGTTCATCCATTTGTAGCATATCCCTGTAGTTTGTTCCTTTTTATTGCTGAATAGTACCATTGTATGGATGTACCACATTGGTTGCAGCTTCTAAGATGGCCCTCAATGATCCCTGCCTCCTGGTTTTCATGCCCCTGTGTAATTCTTTCCCATTGAGTATGGGCTGGACCTAGTAACTCACTCCTAATGAACAGAATGTAGTGGGCTATCACTCCTGAGATTAGGTTAAAATCTAATTAGGTTAGAATTTAAAATAAAAAGACTATGGTTTCCATCTTGGGGGCTCTCATTCTCTCTCTCTTTCTTGAATCCCTCATTCTGAGCTGCCATGTTGTGAGCAGCCCTATAGAGAGGTCCACATAGCAAGGAACTGATGTTTCTGGCCAATAGCCAATGAGAACCTGTGGCCTGCTAACACCACATGAGTGAGCATGGAAGCAGATACCCCTCCTCTGCAGTTGAGTCTTCAGATGAGACTGCAGCCCTGGCCAGCACCTTGACTGCAACCTTAGGAGAGACTAAGCTAGAGTTACCAACAAAGCAAGATCTAGACTCCTGACCCTTTGATTTCTCACAAGAATGGTGAGAAAATAAACGTTTGTTATTTTTAGCCACTACGTTTTGGGGTGATTTGGTCATAGCAATAGGTAACCAATATATCACATTTTGTTTATCCATTCACCAGTTGATGGACATTTGGATTGTTTCTAGGTTTTGGCTCTTATGAATAATATTGCCATGAACATTCACATGCATGTCTCAAAGGACTTTTCTTAGGGACTTCCCTGGTGGTCCAGTGGTGAAGACTTTGCACTTCCACTGCAGGGGGCACAGGTTCGATCCCTGGTCAGGGAACTAAGATCCTGCATGTCATACGGAACAGCCAAAAAATTTTAAAAATAAAAATAATAAATAAAAAGGACTTTTCTTCTGGCACCAAGTTCACCTGGCTTGTACTATTCCTACAGTTCCAAATACAACTTTGGTTTTTTAAAAATTTCCCTGCTTAAAGCAGTTTCTTATCTTATCAAATAAAATTGTGCAATTTATCACCTATGCCCTTCAGTAATATTTTAAGTCAGAACACAGTATGTTGGAGAAATGAATTGACTTAATTTTTAAAACCATTAGGGTCCAATCTATACTAACTACCTCTTGATAATCAGAGAATTAATGTTTCAGGAATTAAAATATAATTTAGGGATAGCAGTGACTATTTGTTTACTTTTATTTTATGCTAGTTATGTGTAGAGGGTAAAGGATAGTTTTGTGTCCTGGAAGAATTAGGGTCATTCTTTTGCCACTTAATTGCTCTCCAAAGCACACGACTCTTAAAAAAAATTTTTTTTAATCTACTACACCTGCACAGTGGTACCTGAACTCCTTTAATTCTTAACTAAAGATACAGTTACCATGACAATGTGTTCAGTATTTTCTTTGCATAGCCAAGATGTGGACCATTTTCTAATAGTTAGTACCTAATGAACCCTTACCATGTGCTGGCACTGTTCTAAACCCTTCATATGCATTCCGCTTCTTTTAATCCTCACAATGATCTTAATCATCACAACTCCATGAGGTAAGTACTCCTAACAGGATGACCCCTTTGCACAATTCTAGGTGATGCTATTCATGTTGTAGTCTATATGAATGGGATTCCTGGAATTGTATAGTTCTAGGCTGTCTACCGATATTATCTATTAGACTATCTACTTTACAGATGAAGAGGCAGAGAAAGGTTAAGTATCTTGCCCAAGTTTACCCACTTTGTAAGTGGCAGAGCCAGGATTTGCATCTAGGTTATCTGGCTTCATCCAGGGTATGAACTCATAACTATTGCATTCTTCTGAAGAATCTTAATTTTTGGTTTAAAAAAAAAAGTCTTGTTAGCTATGGTCACCTTAGATGATAATTTCTAGGGCATTGTTTCTCAAGGAGTGGTCCTTGGACCAGGAATATCAGCATCATCTGGGAGCTTGTTAGAAATGTGAATTATAATGCCCCGCCCCCATCCCAGATATATTGAATCAGAAATTCTGGGATGGGACCCAGCAATCTGTGCTTTAACAAGCCTCCAGCTGATTCTGATGCACGCTCAAATTTGAGAACTACTGTTTTAGGAAATAACTTAGTTTTTTTAAAAGGAAAAAGTATTTTAAATTTTTTTCTATTTGTTTTACAACAAGTTTTATTTCAAGTAACCTACTCAAATTAGTTCAAGTGTTTATTATACTCTTGATCTGTGATTTAAGAAATACTGATCTTACAGAATTCAAGGAGAAAGCAAGGGTGGGAACAGGGCAGTCACCTTTTCCAGCTCCCCTATGAAAATGATGCAGCTAACCACTCCCTAGGTTTCTGTGTCTCCTTTCTCAAATGTTCAAAAAGGAGGATTTGATTGGTTTAGCTACAAAATAGGGTGCATCTCCTTGGGCCAGCCAACTGTCTGCCCTTTGCTTACTTGCCTAAGTCCAGGGGAGGGGTGGGATCACATTGTACAAACAGGCCAGCAAGGGCTCTATTGTGATGGAGGCAAGAGTCAGAATCTTTTAGAAATAGAGGATGGGTAGAATCAATGATCTGCATCCTTAATACACAATTTATGTTTAAAATTATATGGTAAAAAGAAAAGAATGCATTTAATTCCATCACATTTGTTATTGAACAAGTGGCATTTGATATTCTTAATTGGTTTGGGAAAAGAAGAAGATATGGGCCTGGCTAGAGAGCACAAGCCCAATGCAGAGCAGCAGTGGGTGAGATTCAATGAATTTCTCCATTAAGGGGCAACACAGACACCCAAGAAACATCTAGTAATAATTAAATAAAATAATAAGAAGGAAAATTATTTCCTATGCCAAATTAACGGAATTAAGGTTAGCATTTTTTTCTCTTAGAGATCTGAAGATATTTTACAACAGAATGTGAAATACAGTATTTATTGATGAGAAAATAAAGCCAATGGTAGTTCAGACTTGTTTAAAGTGACATCGGGACTTCCCTGGTGGTACAGTGGTGAAGAATCTGCCTGCCAATGCAGGGGACACAAGTTCAATCCCCGGTCCAGGAAGACCCCATGTGCCGCGGAGCAATTAAGCCCATGTGCCACAGCTACTGAGCCTGCGCTCTAGAGCTCGCGAGCCACAACTACTGAAGCCCACACGCCCTACAGCCCATGCACTGCGACTACTGAGCCTGTATGCTGCAACTACTGATGCCTGCGCGCCTAGAGCCTGTGCTCTGCAACAAGAGGAGCCACTGCAATGAGAAGCCCACGCACTGCAACGAAGAGTAGCCTCCGCTTGCTGCAACTAGAGAAAGCCCGCGCACAGCAATGAAGACCCAACACAGGCAAAAAATAAATAATAAATAAATAAATAAAGTGACATCATCATTGACTGAATTATTCATTGTATCTAGCTATTTCCTGAACAGTGTATATAACCTCTGAATAAATGACTGGGACTACTGTGGATGCCCTTTTTCTACTATGTTGCCATCTCCTCAGCCACAGCTGATTGGATCAGAGGTAGACATCTGACTAAGGAGAAAAAAGCCATTTCAGCTAATAAGATTTTCTATCTCAATACTTTAATAGCTGAGGCACATTAATTGGTAGAGCACTAGAACAAAGGTCTCTAAATCTTGATACTGAGAGTGCCAAAATGTATTGATTCCTGTCCTTCCTATGGCTTAGTTGTTCCTGCTTTCTTTGGGAACTGCAAAACGTTATTTTTATAATACAACTCTTTTAAAAATAACATATGATTTAACACCACCTATATAGATGGTAAAATCTGTAAAGAATAACAAGAGAATGATTTTCTCAAAAAAGCAGTATAACAGTTACCTCTGCAGGGGAGGGAGAGAGATGTGTTCAGAGAGGTGCAAACAAGGGGCTTCTAAGGTATGGCAGTTTTCTATTTCTTAGTCTGGGTGGTGGTTACTTTATAGTTATTTTTAATATGTATTTATACATGTATATTTTTTACATTCTTGTTCTACATGACACAACTACTCAAAAAGAAAAAAAGAATTTTTACTTGAGTAAATTCAGTACGTTTCTATTCATTTCATGCAAAGATGCTCCAAGACCCATAGTTATTAAAAATAGTTTAGGGCTTCCCTGGTGGCACAGTGGTTGAGAGTCCGCCTGCCGATGCAGGGGACACGGGTTCGTGCCCCGGTCTGGGAGGATCCCACATGCCGCGGAGCGGCTGGGCCCGTGAGCCATGGCCGCTGGGCCTGCGCGTCCGGAGCCTGTGCTCCGCAGCGGGAGGTGCCGCAACAGTGAGAGGCCCGCGTACCGGAAAAAAAATAAATAAATAAAAAATTGTTTAATAGTAGTAGTATTCATTCAAATAAATAAAGTGTGTGTGTGTGTTTGTATGTGTGTGTTTAAAGCATGCTATTCAAACTTCATTGGATTCCAGGGTTGGAAGAAACCTGAGAAATTTTCTAGTTACTTGAAGGTCTTTATTTAACAAACATAAAACTAGGAACCAGAAAAGTTAAATAACTTGTCCATTTTCTTCTTCTATCTCAGAATCCTGGGTTCTTTCTACTAAGCTATACCACTTCCCTAACAAAAGAAGAGACAGCAAATGCGTATTTCAAAGATTCAATTTTTTTTTTTTTCCGCTGCGTTGGGTCTGTTGCTGCACGTGGACTTTCTGTAGTTGCAGCGAGCAGGGGATACTCTTCGTTCTGGTGTGTGGGTTTCTTACTGCAGTGGCTTCTCTTGTTGCAGAGTATGGGCTCTAGCGCACGGGCTGCAGTAGTTGTGGTGCACAGACTCTGTAGTTGTGGCTCGTGGGCTTAGTTGCTCCGCATCATGTGGGATCCTCCCGGACCAGGGATCGAACCTGTGTCCCCTGAATTGGCAAGGAGACTCCTAACCACTGCTCCACCAGGGAAGTCCCCTCAATTATTTTTAATGCTTATTTTATTTTTAGAAGACTTGTATGCCTCAGAACTGAAAATAAATTCTCCTATGTCATATAATATCTATACAGAAGCAACATTTTATATCACGGTTGCTGGATATCAAGAACATCCAGAAAAGAAATTACTGTAATTTAAAATGAAATATTACTGACAACTACTAAATTTTCTTCCCTGCTTATTAATTTTAAATCATTCAATAAAGTGAATTTAACAATACGGTAATTCTTATGGGTATGGGAAAAACTGATTCCCCTTTGCTAAACCCATCAAAGGTAACTGAAGATTAATAATATGTGTTGTAAAAATTGGCTTATTTTCACGAATTAAAGACACATCACCATGTCTGATGTTATAACCTGTTACTTAGAAAGGAAAAGAAGTGGAATGCATACAGACAGGACTGGCCACATTATCTGCAGGGCCCAGTAAAAAATGAAAATATAGTGCCTTGTTCAAAAAGCAGAAAAATTGCCAAAGTACTGTAACATTAAAGATACCAAAATATAAAACATTCTTCTTTCTTCTTCTCTCTCAACTCATCATGGTGTTTTGTATTTACTATTTAATGTCCTGTTTCCTTGCCCGGGGATACTTTCAAGATGCCTCTCAAAGGCACCCCGGGGCGCCATTCCACAAATGTGTGCACCCACCGTCCACCAGCTGCCAAGTTCACCTCTTTTTTTTTTTTTTAACATCTTTATTGGAGTATAATTGCTTTACAATGGTGTGTTGGTTTCTGCTTTATAACAAAGTGAATCAGCTATACATATACATATATCCCCATATCTCTTCCCTCTTGCATCTCCCTCCCTCCCACCCTCCCTATCCCACCCCTCTAGGTGGTCACAAAGCACCGAGCTCATCTCCCTGTGCTATGTGGCTGCTTCCCACTAGCTATCTATTTTACGTTTGGTAGTGTATATATGTCCATGCCACTCTCTCACTTCGTCCCAGCTTACGCCTCCCCCTCCCCGAGTCTTCAAGTCCATTCTCTAGTAGGTCTGCGTCTTTATTCCCATCTTGCCCCTAGGTTCTTCATGACCTTTTTTTTTTTTTTTAGATTGCATACATATGTGTTAGCATACGGTATTTGTTTTTCTCTTTCTGACTTACTTCACTCTGTATGACAGACTCGAGGTCTATCCACCTCACTACAAATAACTCAATTTCGTTTCTCTTTATGGCTGAGTAATATCCCATTGTATCTATGTGCCACATCTTCTTTATCCATTCATCTGCCGATGGACACTTAGGTTGCTTCCATGTCCTGGCTATTGTAAATAGTGCTGCAATGAACATTGTGGTACATGACTCTTTTTGAATTATAGTTTTCTCAGGGTATATGTCCAGTAGTGGGATTGCTGGGTCATATGGTAGTTCTATTTGTAGTTTTTTAAGGAACCTCCATACTGTTCTCCACAGTGGCTGTATCAACTTACATTCCCACCAACAGTGCAAGAGGGTTCCCTTTATCCACACCCTCTCCAGCATTTATTGTTTCTAGATTTTTTGATGATGGCCATTCTGACAGGTGTGAGGTAATATCTCATTGTAGGTTTGATTTGCATTTCTCTAATGATTAATGAGTTGACATTCTTTCATGTGTTTGTTGGCAATCTGTATATCTTTGGAGAAATGTCTGTTTAGGTTTTCTGCCCATTTTGGGATTGGGTTGTTTGTTTTTTTGATATTGAGCTGCATGAGCTGCTTGTAAATTTTGGAGATGAATCCTTTGTCAGTTGCTTCATTTGCAAATATTTTCTCCCATTCTGAGGGTTGTCTTTTTGTCTTATTTATGTTTTCCTTTGCTGTGCAAAAGATTTTAAGTTTCATTACATTCCATTTGTTTATTTTTGTTTTTATTTCCATTTCTCTAGGAGGTTGGTCAAAAAGGATCTTGCTGTGATTTATGTCATGGAGTGTTCTGCCTATGTTTTTCTCTAAGAGCAAGTTCACCTCTTGCCAGCTGCAGGACCTATGCACTGTGCCCTGGACAGGGACAAGAAGTCAACCTCCCTTCCCATGGCCCACCACCTTAACCCGTGGCAGACGGGCAATCCCCAAAGGATTGCAACCTCCACTCCAAGAGGCACTTGGTACCTTGATGGGGGTACTGAGAGCTTGCCCCTGCCAACACACCCACCAAATGCACTGTGGTGCTGCCAGCCTGGAGCAGGGGTGGCCACTGTCATGCCTGCCCCAAGATGTTGCAGGTGCGTGCTGGTAGAATGTAACTTCCATCATTTCCCCATGACCCAGTTGCCACTCTAGGTAAGGGCAAAGAGGAGGACAGGTCATCATAACTATGAATATTTTCCTTTTGCCTTTTCTTTCAAGGCTCTGTTCACTTTTTATCAAAGAAGCTAATTAGTCTCAACAAGTGTGTTAATGAAAAATGGGATGGACCCTACCAAAATCTCCTTGCCTAGGCAACATTTAAACATTTAAAACAGATATTTTGGGGAGACAGACTCCTAAACCAAAAGGAGGGCTCTAATTGTATGAATTTTTGCCATTTTTATGGTTCTTTTCCTAACACTTCTCTTAGTTACTTGAATAGGTCTTTATTAGTTCTGCTAATCCTACACCTAAAAGTTTCCTTATGTAGGCCTGCCATGGAAGCCTCCATTTTGGCCCCATGTCAACCTTGAAGTAGGAATCAGAACATATTCAAGTCCCTTCCAAGGAAAACCCACCCTTCAAATACTTATAAGCAATGTAGATTCTACTGAAAATTTTGTAAAGGTGCCAAGGGAGGGCTTTATATACCATGGTGTATAGCACACAATTTTATTAATGTCCCCATTCCAATTTGTCTTCTTTCCCTTGTCCCACGGGGAAAGGGGTAACAGAGAGTCAACCTTTTCACATGAAGGGCCAACCCCCAGATCTTCCTCTATGCACCACTGCTCCTATTCTCTCCGTTCTTTACAGCAATAATCCTAACCCAGACTACTGGCCTCAGGGTGAGTGTCACTCAGCCAATACATAAGACTAGGCAGCCCTAAAAATAATGAATTTTTGGACATATACGTTCTGTTAGGGTAGATAGGGTATGGCTGAGTACTAGAAAGGAAATGGAAATGGCATAGATATATATTAAATGACATGAGGAACATGGGTTCTTAGGTGAGGAAATAT